ACACCTTCAATCATTTTGTGATATGCGGTCTGCACCATTTCATGGTGTCTTAAAGTACTGAGTCATTATTAATGTACCAATTAATAAGTTTTATAACTAGACATTTACTTAGTGAACACCAGAAAGCTTGCAGTCCGATATTTCAGTTTAAAACCATTACTTGAAGGAGAGACCCTGTAGTAAAGCCAGTCTGATCGATGAAGGCCAAACAGAACATGTAATGGGCACCCCCAGGATACATTAGTCATTTATCAGAAAATAAGAATTACAAATGAGCCTCTGAGAAGTGCTTCTTTCAACCTCCTTTTCATGGCTTGTTATTTAAAGGCCATCCCTTGGCCTTAAGTTCTCTTTACAAGGCCCCAAAGCAAAAGATATAATAGGATGATAAACAACAAATGTTAATAATGATTTTCTTTGGGGGCTTATAGGCAAAATTGGTATCTTATATGCAATTTTCACAATATCTATGGGTAGTTTTATATTTTAAAACCTAAAAAATCATTCTATTATGAGAAAATCATATGGTTTTTAGATCAGGTTTCTCAAGAATCTCATATTTATATACATTTTTTACCTGCTTTCAGTTATTCAGGGATGTGCATACTGCAACAACTACCACTAAGTTCTTTTTTCCTATCCAGGTAGTGCACCACTACTGAAATGTAATCAACTAATCAGGGCCCTTCTTGCCGGAATTCCTTGTATGTTGCATTATAATTCATCAGGAATGTATGCCTGTGGCTATAATCCCATGACAGAGCGTGCTCTTTAGTATGCTAATGGAGACAAGATTACAAAATTCTGGGATTAAGTCCCTAATTTAGTAGAAGGTGTGAACCAAGTTATACCCTTTGCTTCCTTGGGGGGCGGGGGGGTGTTCTATTGAAAGACAAAGCCACACTTCAAAGCTATTGCTCTTCATGTAAGAGTAATGTTGGACACACAGAGAAAGCCCATAACCATCAGAAGAACATGTCCCAGCTCTTTGTCTGAAGTCGTGGAGGACAGGAACAGAGACATCAGAGACTGTGCCAAAGAGACTAAGGGACAGAGCAAGAGGAACAGCGCCAAGACAAGGTGACTGTGAGACAGAGCAACAGGTAGGCTTCCTGGTCTACAAAGGCAGAGGCCATGGGCTGAGAGGCCGAGGACCAGACAGATTTGGTTGTTAACTGAGGAGAGGTGTTGCTGTGGACCAATGACTATCTTTACTGTTTAATAATCTTGACTTTTGGCAATCTGCTCACTGCCCTTATAAAGCCCCTGAATCTTGAGTATTGTGAGTTGTGTGGCCATTGTAAGGAATTAATGAATGAAGCGTAGATGTCTGCCAAGTGGCGAGGGAGGACTGATTGGTGTCAGAATAGGTAAAGAAGGATGGAGGGTGGAGACATGATTTACTCCTGCCTCTTTGGCAATAGGAGAGCCAGAGGGGGGTCAGATATGGTCTTTTACTGCCATTTACTGCAATCCCCCAGGATAATTTCCTGTAAAGGACCTAAACTTCAGTGTTCAATCATATGTGAATACACCAACTACTGAATTAATTAATAAATAAAATTCAGAGTTTTCCATTCCAATGAGCAGCTTCACTGTTTCTAGGAAAAGACAAACCATCTATCTAGGAATACGATACATCTGGGAAGTTACTTTTTTTTTAAAAAAATGATAACTTAGCAGTATTGAATTTATCAAAACTGGCACAATTTCTAAGTCAGGGACTGAAGCTCAGCAGTCTTAGCACAAAAGCATGTGGTTTCCATAAAAGGATATCAGAAACCAGTATGGATTCTGACATCAGCCCATTTACTTAATTCTTCTTCTGTACACTCTAGTGCACTTGTGACCACCTTCATTGAAATATTTGCTCTACAGACTTACAGTAACAAAGGTGCCCTAATGTACGTCAGCACTCACTCCTCGAAACTGTCCCTTTTCAGTCATCACAGCCCAATCAGATGTGAGGAATTGGCTCTGGAGATTAAATGGGTTTCCAGGAATAATCCACAGGAAGCCAATTCACTTGCCTGAGGGGATTTTCTACATAGTGAAAAAAAAGTATATGAAAATGCTGGAAAATAACATGAAATTCAACACAGCAAAGAAATCACTTTTGAAGAGCAAATCATGAGAGGTTAGTAAGTAGCTCACATGACCTTGCAACTCTTTATGATCCTTCCATCCACCCAAAGGATACCACACAGTCACACCTGACCACCTTCATAAGAGAATGTTCCCTATTTAAGGTTGTGTTAAATAGGGTTGAGAACAACACCTTAGGGTTGTTCTCAATTTGCTTTGATAACACATAACGTCACACACTGAATATCATATACTTAAAAACATTACAAAAGAGTAAAGTTTAGAAATGTTGAACTTGTGGGGGGTTTCATTTTACCTGAATTGACATTCAACATCCATGGAAGTAGCAGCCAAGAAATCAAACAACATATTGAATTGGGTACTTCTTCTGAACGAGACCTACAAGCTATGGTATTTTCAATTAACCACATACGCATGCAAGACCCAGATAAGGACTAAAGGTGGCCATAGAAGAATTGTTGCTTTTGAGTCACACTAGTGAAGAATAGTGACTGTGCCGTGCTGAAACGGTCCTCAGAAGCACACATAGCTAGACCTTCTCCAGCACTTCGGGCATGTTGTGAGGAGGGCCAGTCCAGGACAAGGCCACCACAACGGGTAAGTGAAGGGTCAGTGAAAACGAGGCAGGCTCCCAATGAGACTGTGATTGTCTGAGAACCAGACCCGACTTGATGACACCCCCCACCGAGATTCACAGGAAACACTACTGCTAAGGGTCGTGTTCAAAGAAAGACCAGCGTTTCCAACTGATAGAACTACATTCAAAAGTAGCAGTCTCCTACCTGTTTCTTCACTTTTCATGCTAAATACACAAGAAAAAAAAATCAAACTAGTTTGATGGCAATTCTTTTCACTCCTAATGAATAGCTGTAGAACTACTTTAAAAAACAATTGCTGCCAAGTACGAGGCTCTTGATTATATAATTACCCTAGTCCCCTGCTATCAATGAAGTATCTGTTGACTTTTTTTTCCTCAAGGACAGCATTTTTCTATACCAAGACGAGTACCTCGCCGATAAAAACCAGATTGGCTTAGGGGTGGTGATATGGGCTGAGAAGTAAAACTCAGCGAGCAGGCGCTGAAATCCTGCATTAGGTGGTGGCAACAGACATCCAACAACACTTCACTATCTTGGCAATCGGTGTCTGCAATGTTGGGCTGAGTACAAGTTTTAACTTTAATATCTTGACTGTTTAATATTCAACAAAGCATGCCTTGGCTTGCCTATTGGCAAATTAGTCAGCAGCGCATTTAGGATGAAATGTTACTGCAAAAATCTTTAATGGAAGACTACTTGGCTCAGGCTTCATGTCTTCTATTAATATTATGCTGCAAGTGAAAAAACACATCTTGGGCCTTTCTGAAAACCCATTTCTGAAAAGCTCTGAAGAGGAATAACCATCTCCATAAAGTCCAATGTTAAATACAGGATCCGCTAAGCTGACGTGGAGATTTTCAAATGGAAAATTAACATGGGCAGCCTTAATTGATTTAATAACAATCCTAATTCTGAACTTATCACCTTGCCTAAGGATTTCTTTTCTTTTTTCTTTTTACAACAACAAAAACCCAATGACAAAACAAAACAAAACAAAAAAACCACAACAAAGATTTACTTCAACCAATCATATCCAATTCACAATAAAAGGTGAGTAATTTACTTTCAGGATATATCCAGATTCCCATCATTTCATGCTACGTTAATCAACCAACACCATCTCTTGCCTGAATTTGCAAAATAGCCTGCTACCTAGACCCCATCTTCCACACTTGCACCTACCCCACTGCAGTTCCTTCTCAGTAATAGAAGTCAGTGTGATCACTTAAAAACTAAAGTCAGTCCACACAGAAGAACACACCAGCTCACGTGATCTAAGAATTGTACGTAGTAACTGCCAAGATCAGAGGGGGGAATTGTATTAGAGCTTAAATTCTGAATGCTCAGCTTGCAGGAAGCTATGGATGACAATGGAAGCTTGAAGTTCATTTGCAGAGTCTTCGTGAATTAAAGCTCCCTTGATCTCCCTCTGATCACTGACCAGGGATGTGCCTAGTCTTGTCATCAGACAGAGTGCACGGAAATTGCCTTACTCCAGAGAGAGTTAGGTTAAAGTTTAACCTTTTACTGTTTGTTTTCCCTTTTGCCTCGTCTTTAACTTATTCTTGTTCTTCTTATTTTCTGCTTTCTTTGGGATGGAGGCTTGTAAGTATTTTATTTTGTTGTTGTTGGTGGTGGGGTTTTTGTATGATTTTCTTTGTAGGAAATCCAGGAGGAGTAAATCTATAGAGACAGTAACCAGATTAACTGTTCCTGAGGGCTATGGCAGGGGAGACTGGGAGGTAATGGAGAGCTAATAACAATGTACCCAAGCAAGAAGAAAGCAACCCAAACTTGATTATTGGGGATGACTGCGCAACTCTAATATGTGTAAGCCATCGTATTTTGGGGTATACAAAATATATGTCTATGAAGATAGGCGTGTTACTGCTTGTCTGATGTATCCTCAAGTACTTCACACTTTCTGAACCATAATGGGCACTCCATGAATATTTGTAGAAAAAACCAACACCTTTTCAGCAAGAAAGACATGTAGTCTGTGGTACACTTACAAAAGAGGCTGGATGACAAATCTGGAGCTGCAAAGAATGAGGTCATAGGCCCCCTTAATCTAAAAAGAAAAGCCTAAACTACTCAGAATTAAATGGAGAATTGCACTAGAATTTGGGGGAAAGTGAATAAATAGTAAGTAGATGAAGAGTAGGTGATGGATGGCCACTGTTTTAATGCTGTCCTTATAAAAATAGTCAACCTTATTTCATGAAGGACTTTGGATAAAAACAAATGCACCCTTATAATAGACTAAAGTCTATGGATAAAATACCCCAAACTCACTTGTCGTGTTGAGTCTGACCCATGGCAGCCCTCCGTGGGGTTTCTGAGACAGCTAATCTTTAGGGGAGCAGGCAGCCTCATCTTTCCTGCACAGAGCAGCTGGTGGGGAAAACCACCAGCCTTGAAGAGAAGAAAAAGCCAATTTCAGTTTCAAACTAAGAGATTCTGGGTCTCCCAGGTTATTCCAAAACAAATTTACAGAGAGATAATAAATCAGAACTTCAGAAGTGAGTCAGGGTTAGAATTACTGTTTCCAAATGCATGGAAAGCAAAGATTCCAACCAAATTGAGTGAGCTATCAGGGGCGTCCAGCCACCAGCCTGAGCATATCCCAACCTGGTACGCAGGTACACCTGAAAGTACTTCCTCCTACAGCGAGCCCTGTCCAGTTTCTCCCACCAGGTGCTAACATCCATAGTCAAAAACCACCCCGGTAACACAGGCTACCTTTATTTTTTCCGTGCTTAGTTAATAGTAAGCCCTAATAGTGGCACAGTGGTTATGCATTGGGCTGCAATCTGCATGGGCTGCAGTTTGAACCCATCAGCTCCTCCGCAGGAGACAGACTGGCTCTCGACTCCTCATAAAGAGCCACGGTCTCAGAAACTCACCAGGGCAGTTCCACCCTGTCCTGCCGGTCACTAGGAGTCGGCATGGACTTGACGACAGCGAGTTTGAGTTGGGTTTAGATTTTATGCAGGTAAGATGTAGGCCTCACCCAAAGGTGTTTTGGTTATTAATTTCCTGCAGAATAAGAAAACTACTCATCACTAACAAACAGCTGCCACTGAAGTCGATTCTGACTCATGGCAATGTCCTGCATTTAGATTAAAATAATGCCCCAATGTAGATCACCAGAACTCTCGTCCACAGTGTCTCTGGAGGGGGCTTGAACCAATTTTCAAGTTAGAAGTCCAGCTCTTAAACTGTATGTGCCACATGGGCACTCCCAGTTTTGTACTGAGGACACACACACAGCGGCGATGCTGAGACGACTGACCTACAAAAAGCGTGTCCATATGAGATGTGACTGCCACCCAGAGCCTTGCTGACCACCACTGCTGTACCCAAGGAGCTGGGGTCACTGTATACAGAGGAGACCACCACCATCTTTGACCTTTCCCACCTAGAGCTTCTCCCTGGGGCTTCCACAGTACCTCCCCTCCAAGCCCTAGCCTGCCCCATCACTCTGAACCAAGGGACGGCTGTGAAGGCCACAAACCTCACGGACCCATTTCTAGAGCCCCTATGGGGCCCACCCTCATCTCTCTGGAAGCCCCTCAGCTCTCCCAGTGAGAGTTTCTGAGCTGGCCTGAGTCCCGATGCCCTGCATCCTAGGAATAAAACACACACACACACACACACACACACTCACACTCCCGATTGCCCTGCATCCTAGGAATAAAACACACACAGTCTCTCTCTCTCTCTCTCTCTGCCCTGAGTCCCGATGCCCTGCATCCTAGATATAAAACACACACACACACACACACACACACACACACACACACACACACAGTGAGAAGGATGAGATTCCAGGGGACTGTGGCCCTATGATAGAGGTCACGTTCATAATGAGTTAAAAGAGTGATGTGCAGCTGGGCTTGGGAATCAAATCAAAGATGTTCACCTAGTTTCACCGACCACATCACACACCTCCAAACAGTGGTTAGAACAGAAGTTTGTGGTACTCTGGAGAACTGAGGGCTTATGCGTATCCAGAATACGACCGGTGGGTTCTGGGAAAGAATAGTGAATGATTGCTCTGGTCACAAAGACGGTCAAGTGAATCTTGCAGGAATCTAAAATGAGAAACTCGGAGAAGGATGTCCATGAGGGGTAGCGACTAAGTGGGGACTGGGCAGTGAAGCCACCAGGCCAGGCCGTGAGCAAATGAAGCTGCAGAGGAAATGGGGAAGAGCAAGGAAGATGGAGCAGACTCTTGGAGAAAAACAGACGCAGGAGGCAAGAGTATGGATCCTCGGAAAGCTTCAAGAAATGCCTCCGGTCTCTGAAGAGTTCAGGCCCTTGTTTACAGTGAGAAGGCCAGCTGCGGGAAGAAGTCAGTGTGTGAATGCCTAGGACTCATCACCACCTAACCCGACCCACCTCCCCTCCCCTAGCCATCCTCCCCTCTTCGTCCAACCTGAGCCTGGTTCAGCTTCTCGCCACAAAAAGAGCTGGCCTGGTGAGCCTGTGCCATCCACGTCTTTGGTACTCAGAACCATGAACACTGCTCTGTCCAAGATCATCATTGCTTGCCACTGTCTAACGCACATTTTTAACTTCCAGAGCAGATTTTAAAGTTACAAGGAATATTGTTTGCTAAAGAGCACTTCTGTCAATGTCCATTTCATTTTTAAAATAGGAAGGCTATCAATCTCTTTGGCAGTAAATAGCAGGTGAAATGAAAAATGGAAGTGGAGAACTAATGAATTCACATTTCGCTTAGATCATGTTCTTAATTCCCAAACAGGCAATTAGTTTTACTAGCTGCACAGATAACTAAATAAAATCTGTTAATAAATGCGGCTAAAGTGTATTCAGGACACTGAGCTGTAGTAGAATAAATCTGTGTACCTACTCATCGTAAAATTTAACTTTCTTACATAAGCCCCGCTGGTGTCTAAGAGTCGATGGGACTAGAATAGAGAGCTCCCCACCTCTCAGTCTGAAGCCTCTCCAGCAAACGGGCTGGCTGCTCAGGAGACTGGACGGACCCATGGTAAAGGAGCGGAGTCGGCCTCCAGATGAACAGGGGTGCTTGTGAGGTTTGAGTCTTCCCATGATCCTTTCTGCCTGTGGATTTCAAGCTGGCTTAGCCAGACACCGTACCACTCTATCTCACCGAAGGTCTTCCTCTCACCAAAACAAAAATTGCCTTTTGCCAGGGACTAAAACTGCTTGTGACCAAATTTTTATATCACCAAAGTTAATACACGTTTTTCAATTTTCATCCTCAATAGTGCCAATCACAAACAGCCTCCTTGGGCATCATATTTTCTTGGCTTGAACACAGCAAAGCCATTCCCGATTTTTAGTTACTGGCTAGCCACTACCAAAGAGTCTGATCACAGTTTCTATAGAACAGGCCTTATCAAAGGGGGGGGGGGCACACACAGGAAATCATTTCAAACCCTTATGGAACCCTGACTTTCTGGTGTCATGGAGTACAGAAGAACTTCTAAAAATGACGATTCTGAGATAATCTTTAAACCTGATGACGAGACGTATCCACTGGAGTCTTCTTAAAGCTAAACTATAGCTTAGCTCAACTAGTAAAGAATTTCCGACTTGAGCATTGTCCTTTGTAAAGCAATATATTTGTGGGATCCAAATGACCACAGCACCATGGAGGAGGAGATGAGACCCTCAGGGGCAGTGAGCCTATGTTAATGGTGAAGGATCTGCTCAGAAGAGGAGAGAATGGTCACACAGCTCAAATAATGTAACCATGTCTTCTAACTACACACAGACAGTGCTGAAGGGGTGTGCGCTCTGCTGTGTAGATTCTCAATAGCAAAAACAAAATATTTTGAAAGAGACTCTTCCACCAAATTTACGAGGCAGAAAAAATGTATTCTTGACCGAATCTTCAAGAAGCCTACACAACCAGATTGAAATGTGCCCTGGGGCCACATATACATAGCCAGGAGAAGTTTAAACCCATCACAAACCTGAACTAGCACTGTCTCTCACCACTCAGCCGCCATGACTAAAGGGACTAAAAGCTAGAATTTTCACCAGATAGCCGAGTAGCTCCAGAAATCGTTATCGAGTCTGCATGTGGATATCTCCTCCCATCCCTGTCTCACCTGTGTGTATCACCTTGGTGAGCCCTACGTGGTACACAGACTCTGAGTTGTAAGGCATTCTGGGAAATGTAGCATCGTTGCTTTCATGTGCTCATTTGTTTGTAGCTTGCTAGCAGCACAGGACACTATGCAGAAGGGGATGGAGAAGGTGTCGAATGGATCCGTCATCTACAGGATCCACTACACTAGGATGCATTTCTGGATTTATTCCTTTTCCCTTTACAGATGCTCTGTCTGGTAGCCCCAACACATGTTTTGAATCTATATATTTGCCTCTTTTAAAAAAATATATTATTAATTGGGAATTAATACATCTATCATTTCATATGTCAAGCAGTATTGTACACTTGCTACCACCATCGGTTTCCAAACATTCTTTTCCTTCCTGGACTCACTGACATCCTCTCCCTTTTACACACCCACCACCACCACCACCTCCTCCACCATTACCACCACCACCACTGTATCCTCACCCCCAAAACCCTTATTATCCTTGCTGCTCATATAGGTTCACCAATCCTGGGTTTCATGCACCCAAAGACAGAAAGACATACAAAACAACTTCAAGAGGGTGACTCCCATTAACATAACACCTGTGAGATAAACCCTAATATGAACAAACAAAAATACAGAAAATGTTGAAATCCATATCAGGTCCAGCATGCATCAGGAGGGTGGGGAGAATCAGCTAACAAAGTGTTAACTGTTCAAGCCCGGTTGATTTCTATACACATCTCTCCAATGCGCTGTTTAGTAACCGCTTTGCTCCCATTTCTCAATTATGACCAGTGGGAGATCACCAGAGCCTTATTTTCTATGCAGTTCCCACAAATGTACCTTGGGCTCCCATTGTCATCCCTAACCACACAAGATATGGGTGCTACAGCAAAATGTGGGGAAGAAATTAGATGGTGCCTGGCTATCAGATAAAGTAGCATCTGGGGTCATAAAGGCTTGTCTCCAAACAAGCAGCCATCTAAGTGAGATGTCAACATCATCTAAGTGAGATGTCAACATCTCACATGGAAGCAGCACACCGTCAACGCTCACCGAAAAATTATAAACCATGTAATCCAAAACTGAAGGAAGGATTAGTATCAGAGCCTAAATTGCCTCTTTGTTTAATGTCACCATCTTTGCTTAGTCAACTGCAGTAACGTTTAGTTAATCTACCCTCCCCCTCTCGTTGGTAGGCACCGCTGTTACATGCAGGTGCTGTCCAGCCGGGTCCGACGCAGAGAGCCCCTACATACAACAGAAA